ATCGATTTGCTTTTGCAGTTATTGTTGTTGTAGCGGCAGAATTTTGTCGAGTTGACAGTCCTTGGTCGGAAAAAATCCGGGTCTGTTCCGGTTACGTAGACCCAACTGTTATGAAAACAGTTTTTGCAGTTGTTGTTGTTGTAGCGGCAGAATTCTGCCGAGTTGACAGTCCTTGGCCGGAAAAAATCCGGGTCCGTTCCGGTTACGTACACCCGACTGCCGTGGGAACGGAATTTTGCGTCGATGTTGATGGTTGACCCGGATTGACCTATGTTTTTCTTCGTTAAGGATTCTTAAAATAAATGCATTTTTCATCGCCAGTGACAATTCAGTACAGAATTAATTTTTTTCATGTCTTTGAGGAAAAATTTCACAAGTGTTTTTTCGGTTTTCCATTTTTCTTTTATTCAATTCATGTGGTACCCATTGTCCACACTTTTGGATCTTTCTCATAGCTTTCAAACGGTCTGAAATTGTTTGTTGTCCAACATTTAACACGACTGCCATTTGCTTTTGACTCAAAGTATCATCTTCATCCAATATTGCTTGCAGGTCAGCGTCTTCAAACTTTTTTTGGTGGTCTTTCACGTTCTTCATTATCTCTGAACCGTTGAAAGCATATTTGTATGTTGCTTCCGATACTCCCTACCAACAAATTTTATGCTAACGTTCATCACTGATGGTCTTAGCTAATGAAAAAGCATTAATTTTGTAGTCAAGCCTCTATTTATATTTAGAAGCATCTATTTATATTTTGATTTTAATAATTTTCTCCCCCATCTTCACTTTAGTTACTTTTCTTTCTAATTTTGCGAAAATGTTTTAGGTTCAAGATTATTTTAGAAAGGAACTATGAAAATTACACTTTTTTCTTAGGAAGTCATATATTTTTAAGTATCAAAATACAAACCCATAAAAGTAAGTAAAAAAGTTGGCTTTAGAATACAGACTCAACAAATGGTTTATCAGTCTTGAAGCCGAAGTAGCACACGATAAAACCAAATACTGCACAGTGTGCTTCTTTAAATGCGAGTGTACATACATACATACATACATATATATATACTACCCACAATATACATATATTTTTTAGTTAATTTTTCTTATACAAATTTCAGCATTATTTCCTATTTATCACTTAAACAATTTGAAGTAGCGCATACGCAATGTTTACTCACTTTTTATTATCAATTCTTCCATTTCGATAGTTGGTGTGAGAATTTGCTCCAGTGGCTCCATTTTTATTCTTTCCGGTGGCAAAATTGTGTGTTGTTGTTGCTGTTGCGGTTGCTGTGGTGGCGGCTGTGGTTGTGACTGCGATGCCTGTGTGTATGCACAACCGCCCACACTTGCTCTCCTTCCACTTTCACTAGCAGTCGACATGCCAGACATACCGGCATTGTACGCGCCACCGGCGACAGAAGAAACATTGACATGTGAAGGCATATAACCACCCACTGAGCCACCCGCAATGCTAACACCAACAGCTGGTGCTGTAGAAGTGGCCGTAATTGCCGAGGCATTTCCACTACCTATATGATGGCCAGCCATATCAAGGTCAAAGCCGCCGACTCCGCCGCCGCCCCCGTTGCCGCCACCAACGAGACTACCACCACTCGTGTCATATAAACAACCACCCCTACCTAGTGTATTTCCAAACATGCCAGGCATACCATTACCACTCCTCATACCGGTGGCCGCAGCAACATGTGCATGTGCTGCGGCAGCAGCAGCATATTGTGCCTGTTGTTGTTGTTGGTGCTGATGGTGATGATGTAGCTGTTGTTGTTGGTGTTGATATTGTTGATGCCATTGTCGTTGCTGTTGTTGCTGCTGCTGATGTTGATGATGATGGTGTAAGAGCTGTTGTTGATGGTGGTGGTGTTGCTGTTGTTGTAGTTGGTGATGCTCAAGTTGTTGCTGTTGTTGTAAATGTTGTTTGTTTTGATTTTGCGACATGGCGTTGTGGAAGTCAAAACACAACACTCACAACGCCGCCGTCGCACGTTTTCAATGTAGCCGGTTGATTTTTTCTCTTTGCCGCTCTATTTCTCCGCACTTTCTGTTTTGTTATTATTTTTTTTCAGCACTTGTTTACGCTATGTATTCGGCACACGTTTTCGTATCTAATTCGGCTTGTGCTTCTTCTTATTCTTTGTCTCCCACTTGCGCGCAGTTTATTTTTTTTTTTTTCGTTTTTGCACGGCGCCTTATATACTTGGAATTTTTTGTATATGTACAAGCAGGGACCTCTGCTAGCTTTTACACTTTAAGCTGATTTTCACACACATTTTTCATAAACAAATTTCTGGTTTCCTTAACAAATTGTAATGCAAACACAAATTAACCACTTTAACTTGCAAAGGCACATAAAATTTGTTTTTATTTCTCAAAATTTCCACTATTTTTCGGCAATTTAAAATTTTTTTCACGAGACGTGCAAATTTTTCCAGCTAACACCATTAAGTTCTTCGCTCTTTTGACTAATGTCAAATTTGACAATAGACATCGAAAAGGCTTCGTGTAGAGTTGCCATGTGCCGATTGGTAAACATTTTCAACTCTCCAAAGTTCGTAGATTTGAGAGATGTGTGGATTAGAAATAACTTTATTCATTTTGAAATTCGTATAATATATTTGAGTATAAATGAAAGTTTCTGTGTATAATACTAATAATGTATACAGAAAGGCAAATTCACACCATATTAATTATCTCATCTAAATTAATCTAAAAGATTAAAATTCGTTATATGGAAAAATTTTTTATTTGACAAAATATGTTTACGAAGTTTTGCACGGATTATTGCTTAACGCAATTTATGAAGAAATTGTTCAGATCGGTTCACTATAGCTTATAGCTGCAATACTAACTGATTGTGCTTTTGTATGCAACATGTTTGATTGTGAAGGGTATCATAGCTTTTGTGTAACTGAAGTTGACGTTTTTATACTCTCGCAACCTGTTGCTACAGAGTATAATAGTTTTGTTCACCTAACGGTTGTTTGTATCACCTAAAACTAATCGAGTTAGATATAGGGTTATATATATATAAATGATCAGGATGAAGAGACTGTCCGGGTGACTGTCTGTCCGTCCGTCCGCCCGTGCAAGCTCTAACTTGAGTAAAAATTGAGATATCTTTATGAAACTTGGTAGACATGTTTCTTGGTACCGTGAGACGGTTGGTATTGCAGATGGGCGTAATCGGACCACTGCCACGCCCACAAAACGCCATTTATCAAAAACAAATAACTTGCCATAACTAAGCTCCGCAATAAGATACAAGACTGTTATTTGGTACACAGGATCACATTAGGGAGGGGCATCTGCAGTTAAAACTTTTTTTTTTAAAGTGGGCGTGGTCCCGCCTCCAATAGGTTTAATGTGCATATCTCCTAAACCGCTAATGCTATAATAACAAAATTCACTAGAAGCAAATGTTTTTAGCACTTCTATTGACGGTGTGAAAATAGTTGAAATGGGGTGGCAACTCCGCCCACTCCCCATATAACGGTACTGTTAAAAACTACTAAAAGCGCGATAAATCAAGCACTAAACACGCCAGAGACATTAAATTTTATCTCTGAGATGGTATAAATTGGCTTTATAGAAACCGCGTTCATAATTAGACAGTGGGCGTGGCACAGCCCACTTTTAGGTAAAAACCCATATCTTGTTTCATGCCATAGTGCGAAAATGGGCGAAATCGGACTACAACCACGCTTACTTCCCATGTAACACCATTTTCAATTCCATCTGATTCTTTCACTTTCCACTATGCAAATCAGGTGACAATGATTATATCGGGGTAAAACTTTGCGTGAATAATGCAATTAAAGTATGCCACCTTGCGGCCAAAAATTGTCTAAATCGAACCAAAACTGTTCAAACCCCTAAGTACTAAATATATGGACCCCATTGCCTATAGTTGACCTTCTACCGAAAATATCAGTCAATCCACAAAGAAATCTCAAACGAGTATACCATTTGACTTTGCGAGAGTATAAAATGTTCGGTTACATCCGAACTTAGCCCTTCCTTACTTGTTTTAAGTTATAAATGGTAATCCCATTGATCTAAGGCAAAATCTAAACCAAGGAACGAATGGCAAGTGATTTAAAAATTATAAGTTTAATAAAAATATAGCTTTCGTGTAACAATATATCTGATAAAAGAACAGTAATACACAGTAAGCAAAAATACAGTTATTACAAAATTCACAAAGATACGTTCTTTTACATAAAACCAAGTTAAATACATGATTGTAAATTACTGTTACAAAATACAAATATACATTTCATGTATAAAAATGGTAAAGAAAAACAAACATAAGGCAACGCAGATTAATAAAAAAATAAATATATAGTACATAAGAATCACAAAATAAATATAGTTTCGTACAGTACAACAAATATGTTAGCTTTGCTTCTTAAAAATAATTGTTAAATGTAATAGCTTTGCCCATTTCCGATATTTTTAAAATTATTAATTTAGTCCATACAGATATTTTTTAATATATTCCCGATTTTCATGACCACTTGTCCATATATCCTCACACATTGCATTTGGCATCGGTTTACGTTTAGGTACCACTGGCATCAGATGTTGATCTATGGCGCAATTTTTGGAAAGCAAATAGTTATGTATAGTCACACAGGCGGTGACAATATTTGCAGCAGTTTGATGATTGTAAGGCAAAATCGTTTTGAGGCAACTATATTATTCATAAGATACGAATTATTGAAAACTTAATGAAGAAACTGGACACGTCGTGAAACCTACCGAAAGCGTGATGTAAGCATAATAATAGCAGTATCTAATACCCCAAGCATTGCTCCTAAAAGTGCATTGAATCGAAAATCTGGAATAGATCTTGGATTTCTATAAGGATTAAGTAGGATATCTTCTAAATTGTAACCGCGATCAGCTGAAAAATATTTCCATTTTTTATTTTTCTACTACGATTCTCAATAGGTATGTATATATATACCAATTAGCCATGCAGGTGCCGTTACAAATAGATTTTTCATAATACCATATATGTGACTATGTTTCCAGACGAATATGTCACTACTACCACCAGACGCTCGAGAATTCACATTTATGAAACGATATTTGTTATCACAAACCTGTTATAGCAGAAAACAATTCAAATTACGTGGCTATAGACGAGTCACATATACAAATTATACATTACCACTTGTACATTAATTGCCAAATTACCATGTCTACATTTAAATGCTTGCTCTTGTGTTGCAGCTACCTTAGAAAGACGGACATGAAAACAATCCATAACACCAACTACATGCGGTATACCGTAGCGAGCATTGAAACCGTGCTTAATACCCAAAGTCTCTTCGTTATTTGAAGGGAATCTGAAAAAAAATTTTACAACTTTGATATCATCTACTATCTGACCTGCATACTCACACAATATAATCGGTTGCGAGAAAATGTACGATTATCTGGCATACTTCGGGCACACAACGTTGTAAAATGCCTTCTTTGTATCCTCGAAAAGCATCTAAATGTTGTAATGCACCAAAATGGCCATGCGCTAAATATGTAAGCGTAGTTAGTACACGTAAATCGAATGGCATCAGATTATTATCTAGTTCTGGACGATAGTAGGTACGGAGACAGAGTACAAGTAAGAAATCTTGGAACAGCCACTTGTCAAGTCGAAAAATATTTTTAAAGCTAAGTCAAGTTTAAATAATATATCAAATAAGTGGCGTATACATATATAAGATTAATAAATAGGAGCACTCACTAATCATCCGATATGTCAAAGGGACTAGGAAGTACTCGTAACTCCTTACAACGCACAAATGTTATTACTTCTTTTGCAAAAAGCCTTTGCATATTCATTTTTGTAAAGCGACCCTTTTCGTAAATATATGGTTTGTCCTGCAAACAATCAGTTGTTATCCCAATAAATAGGCAAGTGGCCAAATCCAAATCCATTTGCGTCAATATTGTGTTTTAAACGATTTCCAAGTATTTTCAGAAACATTGTGAAATTATTCGAATTACAAGATGTAACGGCATATTTTCGAAAGAAAAAAAAATGTTGCCAGATTGAAAAAAAGGAAAAAGCTTTAACTTCGGTTGCCCGAGCCTATAGTACCCTTCACAACAACAAAAGCTTCTTTAGAAAAACTTGATTTTGATCGGTCAGTTTTTATGGCAGTTCTATGCTATAGTGGTCCGATCTAAACAACTCATTTAGAGATTATACCGTAGTCTTGGATAATAATTTATGCCAAATTTCGCGAAGAATAAAAAAAAAATTCAAATAAAAAAAATTTTCACACAAGAACTTAATTTTGATCGTTTAGTTTATATTGCAGCTATATGCTATGATGATCTGATATTGGCGTTTCCTATAAATGTGCAGCTTCTTAGGGAGAAGAGGATGTGTGCAAAATTGTAGATCTAAATAGCAAAAACTAAGAGACTAGTTCGCATGGTCTAATCGACTGACCTCGCCAAGCTAATCGTTTATATATAATGAAATAAATAATATATGAAATAAAAAAAAAATGTTGCTTCAAAAGTTGTTTTTTTGTTTGTTTATTTAAGAAGTATTTAGCCTTAACTTACACTTTTTAAATAAATACATAAGTATAACACTTTCGTATATAACTATGTTATAAAACTTAAGTTATTTTTGGTCCGCGTTCACCGACTTTCCTTTTTAATTGCTCACGTAGTTCTAACGCGTCAGGTACATACTTTCGCTCTGCTACGCTGTCGAGGACGTCTCGAAGTTCCTCTTTAACGACATCAATGCGTTTTTCGTTCTTCGCAGATATTGGTAAAATACGTTCGATATTAATAAGTTTTGATGGTCTAATTTCTTCCGGACATTTTTCTAAACCCTGCTCCAAATTATTGATAATTGGCTTTATAGTTTTGTAAACGTCGGACGCACCTTTCAAATCCATTTTATTTACCAATAATACGCATGGTTTATCCAACAACGTCTCATCATACAGTTCTAATTCTTTATTTAGCGCATAAATATTTTCCAAACAATCTCGTTTAGTATGCTGTGCACCTAAGCGAAAGCCAAATATATCCACCATAATGAGCAGTAGACGTGTACGTTCGACGTGTTTTAAAAATTTATGACCCATACCAATATTTGCATGTGCGCCCTCAATCAGACCAGGCAAATCAGCAAGGGTTATTTGACGTAAATCCGAATATTCTATAGTGCCGATTTGGGGACGTATAGTTGTGACTAAAATAAAAATGAAAATTATTATTCTTGGACAACCCACATATCTTTACCTAGAACTTACATGGATACGAAGCAATTTTCGGATTTGCATTCGAAATAGCTTTAAGCAGCGTACTTTTACCAGCATTAGGAAACCCCACAAGCCCTACATCGGCAATCAATTTGAGATCCAATTTTACCGTGCGTTGATTACCAGGTGTCCCTAAAAAATTATTACCAGTACAACCGCCAGTGCCACCGCCTGCTGTTATACATGTTGCATTATCTTCATTTAAATCACCCAAGAGCTGACCATGTTCGTCATATACTTGTATACCCGTTGGTACTTCGACGCGTTCATCTAATCCTCGTCGTCCAAGTATGCGCACTTTACTGCTGTCCTCACCACTGGAAGCCGCTATACGCTTTGTTTTGTATTTCTGTGCTACATCCCGCAAACTGACACCGTCTTTAGCCACAAAATATACGCAGCCACCTTGACCACCAATGCCACCATATTTTGGTATACCATTTCCTCCGTGACCACCACGCACTGTCAAACGCAGACTGTCGATGAAAGCGTTACGTAGGTGTGCACGTACAACCTGCGAAAATTCGGTAAGAAATTTGTGCATAAATTAATGGTAACTACGCACCTTCTTTTCAGCTTTTAATAAACACTTAAATAGTTGCACCATTTTGTAATTTTATTTTTTATCCCTGTTTTATTTCATGACGAAAGAATTGCCGGTTGCAAAATAAAAGTGATATGGGAAAGCAAATTACAAAATTGACAAATAAAAATCAGCTGTTTGTGCTGATAACAGGTGAGGGCACATAAAGGCGTGCTGCCGAATTCGTGAAAATTAAAGTAAGTTTTCAATATTTTCCTTTTTATATATTATATATGTGTTACAAATTTAATTTATTTTTCAATTTTTTTATCTCTTAAATTCGTATTTTGAGTAAAAACAGTGTTTATATATAAAATACTTTTATTTATAAATTTTAAAAGGAAATTATAACTTTTTTTTTCGTTCAAATTGTGGCATCTCTTTTTCACAACTATCTTTATCAGCACGTGCTTCCAGCTTATTCTATGCATTTTCATTGCAATTTTTAGAGCAGCACAAAACATAAAAATAAACAAATGGAGTCCGGAATATGCTATATAAAAGAGGAGTAAGTAATAAATAAATATATATCAGTTAATTTATTAAAAATACTTTTCAAGATACCTTGTACCCGAAATAAAACACAATGCTGAACAGAAAGATCGTGTTGAGCTAGGTAACAAGAGAAAATCTAATGAGGAAAATACATCAGGGGATAAAAAGCAACAAAAATATCAAAAGACCAATAAAAAAGAGAGAAAACGTGGTCAAAATAAAGTGAGTACTACGATAAAAATATTTTCTAAAAATGCTTAAATCTATGTAAATTTAGAACCGCCCGGTATTTAAACAAGACAGTTCACTATTCTTATGCCATTCGTTAATGAATGGTCCGAATTTGGAAAAATGTACACACCAGAACTGCCGCTATGTGCATGATTTAGCGGCATACTTTGCGTCCAAACCCGAAGATCTGGGTGAGAAATGTCCAGTATATGACGCTATAGGATTTTGTACGCGTGGTGTTACTTGCCGTTTTGCCAAAGCGCATTTGGATGCGGAAGGACGAAATATCAAGTCACCAGATTATAACGAAAATAAAGCACGCACAAGTATGAATGGAATAACAAACGGTAAATAAAATTTTCTGTTTTTAATTTTTTTAATTACAAGTATTTGTTTTTTAGAACTACAGGTGAGGCTTCGAAAACGTGAGTATGATTTTACACGCAGCAAACAACTAGTCAACCAATCAGACAAATTGCGTGACGAAAACAAAAAGAAAGTTGTGGCGAGTGGGAGTGTTAAGCCTCTTCGAGACATGACTGTTGTTGAAGATAAGGCCACTACTGCAGAAATTGTGGAAGCAGTGAAACCACCAGACACTGAGAAAGCAATTGGAGCAGTTGTAGATAACTTAGAAACTGGTGGACGTGATACAGCTAAAAAACCACCTGTTGATTTTGCCGAAAAACTGATACTTTCTCCACTAACTACTGTGGGCAATTTACCCTTTCGACGTATTTGCAAGGAATTCGGTGCAGACATAACATGCGGAGAAATGGCTTGCGCTGTACCGCTCGTTAAAGGACTCACACAAGAATGGGCGCTTACGAAGCGACACGAGAGCGAACATGTGTTTGGTGTACAGTTATGTGGTAATAATCCAAATATAATTGCGCAAGCTGCACAGCTGCTGCAAGAGACTACAAGTATCGACTATATTGATCTAAATATCGGTTGTCCCATTGAATTAATATATCAACATGGCGGTGGTAGCGCACTTATGCGACGTACAAATGTATTAGAAACAATTGTGCGTTCCTGTTCTTCAATGTCGCTAAAAATACCATTTACTGTGAAAATGCGTACCGGTGTCTACGCCGACAAGAGTGTTGCACATGAGCTGATGCCACTGGTGGAGGAGTGGGGTGCAGCTGCCGTGACGGTAAGTTACATAAATTTTTGAGTTATATTATTATTTTATAACTTTTAACATTTATAAATAGTTGCATGGACGTTCACGTGAGCAGCGTTACATGAAGAGCGCTAACTGGCAGTATATTGAGGAGTGTGCAGCTAAAGTAAAATATATACCAGTGATAGGCAATGGTGATATACTGAATTTTGAAGACTACAATGAGAAGAGGGTAAGCATACTTTACAATAAATTGTATATAATATAATATATTCAATTACTAGAAACAAGCGCCACACGTTTCTTCTGTGATGATTGGACGCGGTGCCTTAATAAAACCTTGGATTTTCAAAGAGATCAAGGAACAAAAGCCTTTTAACCCTACTTCCACGGAACGTTTTGATATCCTACGTAAGTACGTTAACTATGGTTTGGAACATTGGGGCTCTGATATGAAAGGTGTGGAAAATACACGTCGCTTCTTGCTTGAATGGCAATCGTTCATGTATCGTTATATACCCTATGAACTATTGGCGAATCCACCACAGCAAATCAATCAACGTCCACAAAAGTTTCGTGGACGTGATGAAATGGAAACGTTGATGAGTTCACCCAATTCCACGGATTGGGTGCGCTTGAGTGAAATGTTACTGGGACCGGTGCCGGTTGGATTTGAATTTGTGCCAAAGCATAAAGCTAATGCTTACTAGTAATAAGTTAAGTTAGGAAAGCAAGTTGTTACGCGAATCATAAGATTGCTTTAGTGTTATACAGATATGTATGTGTGTGTATATATTATATATATTAAGTTTGACATTTATACTTGTATATGAACTTATAATTATGTTTAAATATCATGAAATAAGCTTTTCAAATGCTCTTTAGCACTTACTGCATAATGTTTGAAAAATAGTTTGAAATGTGGAAGCTAAATTTTTTGTGGCTAGTAGCTATATTTAACTATTGCACTAATCCTATAAGAGGCATTGTTATAACTGACACATGGGGGCAGAGTTAAATCGAATCAAAATCATTTCTGTCTTTGACATATTTTTTTTATACAATATGAGTTAAAACTAAAAAAAAGTTAACTTCGGTTGTACCTAAGCTATAATACCCTTCACAAATAAAAAGGTTGCCATATAACAGCTTGATTTTGATCGTTAAGTTTGTATTGCAGCTATGTACATATGTATGTATATGCTATAGCGATCCGATCAGAATTTGTTGGAGATTTTACCGTTGTCTTGGACAATAATTCATGCCAAATTTCTTAAAAACATCTAATCAAATAAAATAGTTTCCATACAAAGACTTGATTTCGATCGGTCTGTTTGTATGACAGCTATATCCTATAATGGTCTGATCTGAACAGTTCGTTCGGAGAATCCGACGACTTCAAATACATATATCTATTTTGATTTGATTTAAAAAATACATAAAAATATACTCCGTTTACTGCAATCATAAAAGTAAGAATCCGTCATACTTTCTTAGCAATTGTCAAAAACATTTCGTTTACGACGTCACAAATATTTGCAATATGATGTCTCCAAAGAGAGTAACGGAACAAAACTGTCGTAATTATGTCTAAGATTTCATAAATAGAAAACTTTATATTGCGCCTAAAAGTATGCAACCCAAATGCTATTTGACATTTATAACAGCTTTCTGCATTTAAATTGATTGTTACATAACATAATTTAGCAAATTCAGTGCGTTTTAAAGCTAAGGTTAAACACAAATCTGCTTAATTTAAATGAATGATGGGATTAATTAATTAATGTTTTTATACTACTAAGTTTGTTTTGATGTTTTAAATCATATTTTAATAATTTTGTTTTTTCCATTTTCGTTTTTACATAATTTTTTTCGTTTTCTTCACATTTTTTTAAACTTAATCAGGCATCATCATCTTATGCTAGTAAACAATAAATTTATATTGACAATCTCTTAGTCCGTAATAAGTCAAAACCAGTACAATATACATGCATACATATGTGTAGTTTTATATTTTGTACAAAAGTTTACGCGCTTTTTTACAGTTTTTGCGCTTCTTGCATATATCTCAACGCTTCCTCTACATCCTGCTTAGAGCCCAAGAAAATGGGGCTGCGTTCATGTATTTTCTGCGGCACTATATCCAAAATGTCAATGCGACCGTCACTTGCCAAACCACCAGCTTGTGTCATCAAAAACGCCATCGGATTGCATTCGTACAGCAGACGTAATTTACCGTTTGGCGCCGATTTAGTTGAAGGATAAATGAAAATGCCACCATATTTAATGGTACGATGTACATCGGCCACCATCGAGCCAACGTAGCGTGCACCATATGGCTTACCCTTGCTGGGATCCTTTTTAGCGGCAATATATCCAAATACGCCCGCATCCCAATCGGAGGCGTAACCTTCATTAATCGAATAGATTTTACCCTTTTCGGGTACACGCATATTCGGATCGGTCAAAATGAATTCACCAATTGACGGGTCATAAGTGAAACCATTCACACCCGCACCTAAACTCAATACAATAGCAGTGGCTGAACCATAGAGCGCATAACCGGCGGCAACAATTTTATTACCCGGCTGTAGTGTATCTTGTATGGTCGGTTCACCTTCGGTTTGACGCCGGTAGATAGCGAAGATCGAACCGATCGAGACCAAACAATCAATATTCGAAGAACCGTCGAGCGGGTCGAAGCAAACCACATATTTGCCCTGTGGTGTAAAGGAATAAATGAGTTGTGTATAGAAATTTATTATTTTTTGCACTAATTAATTATTATTTTTTATATATTTTCTTTGCTTTTGCTTTTGCCCACATACCTGTCGCTCCAACTCCACCTCAATTACATTCTCATTCTCCTCGGAAACCAGCAGCGCCGTAGTGTATGATGATTTTAACATATTGATAAACAATTCATTCGAAAGCACATCCAGCTTCTTCACCTCTTCACCTTGCACATTGATATCACCCGCAATGCCATGTAATTTGGCTATGCCAGCCTTACGCACAGCTGAGGCAATAGCCTTAATCGCTGTCTGTATGCAATTGAGCAATTGTGAGAGATCGCCGGTGGCATGTTTGAACTTGCGTTGCTCCTGCAAGACAAAGCGCGTCAATGTCATGGCATTGGAATCGAACGCTTGACCGGTCTCCATATTCTCTGTGTGGGTGAAAGTGAAATTAGTGTTTTTCTTAAATGTGTGTGTATATATTTACATAAAAAAGTGTGAAAAAAGTGTAGTAAGTGTTTTAAAAGTGTTTAATCAGTTAAAAGGCTATACTACAAATGCATACAAAGAGATGGTTATCATCGGAAGTGACAACAACAACAATTAACTTATACATACATAAGTACATTGTAGATATATTTTCTTTTTAATATATGAGGACGATGAAACAGGAAATTTTGCTGGGAGAAAGATATTCATAGCTACATATGTATATACATACAATATATGTATGTATTTTGATAAAATATACGTATGTATATGTATGTAAAATGTACATTTTCAATTATTTAATGTAAAATAAACTCGAATATAATTATAAAATAAATTAAATTACGATCATTTTTAAAAAAGTATTATCAAAAAACAAGAAAACGAGTTTATTAAAATAATGTATAAAAAGTTATAAAAAAATAATTTTTTTTAATAATTTCTGACACAAAAAATAAAAAATTTTATTTCGAAATAATTTCTCAAAAACAAATATTTAAAAAAAAATTAGTAACAAATAATTTCGAATAAGTTATAAAAAAATAATGAAAATGTTATAAATAATTTCGAAAGATTAATAATAAAATTATTTTAAAATAATTTATGATACAAAAAAAAAATGAAGGCATTTATTTCAAAAAACAAATGTTGTAAACAAAATCGTAAAAAATAATTTCTAAAAAGGTATTAAAAAAAGTAATATATTTAATACATTTATCAAAAATCATTTACAGAGAAATGCCATTTTAAAATAATTTATGAAAGAATTAAAACCTTATTTAAAAATTATTTATAAAAAGAAAAAAATATACATAATGAAGTTTAAAAAAAAATAATAATTTCGAAAAAGTTAAAAAAAATATTTTAAACAAATTTTTATAGCTAAAGAAATAATTTTATCAAACTCATTTTTCAAAAACAGATGTTTTAAACAAATTCATAAAAAATCATTTCGAAAAAGTTATCAAAAAGCAATTTTGAAACAGAAATAAATTTATTATAAAATAATTTGTAAAAAATACTAGAATTTTCTTTTAAAATAATTTATAAATCAGCCAAAATTTTTTTTTTAAATAATTAAAAAAATATATTTAAAGAAATTTATTTCAAAATAATTTCTCAAAGAAAACAGATATTTTAAACAAATTTAGATTGTAAAAAAATTTCAAAAAAGTTTTCGAAATAGAAATAATTTATGAAACAAAAATAAATAATTTTAGTTCAAAACAATTAAAAAATATATTTATGTATGTATGTATATATTTTAAAAAGCATTTGATAAAATATAAATGTTATTTACTGTATAAATATTTAATACACAATATTAATTACATACAGATATATAATATTATAAGTCGAATATTTCAATTTATTTGCAAAGGATTTTAGGTGAGGGAGACTAGCGTAGGCAAAGCATACAACAGCAACAATTTAGGCGAATAGGAATTGTTAATTCTGTTGTACTTACTTTTAATAGGTGCTGCCATTTTGATAGTTAATTAACCTATTATAGAAATAGTAATAAAAGTAAAAGTAAATCAATTATTTATTTGTCAGAAAATATTACTGCGTATTTACACATTAAATTTTATTAAAAGTAAAATTTGTAAATTTTCCTTTGGATTTAATAGCGTGAAAAATGAAAAGAGGGCAAAATAAAATTAGATTAAAAAATATTAAATAAAAGCGAAACAAACTGAAAAACAAGAAAAACGTTTACTTCAATTGTACCGAAACTATAATAGTGTATATAATATGTAGTATAATAAAATATAAAATATTATATAGATTACAAAAAAAAAAAAAAAATCGGATAACAACTGTAAAAAAATAGTTTTTTTTTCTTGTTATTGCCAATTATATGATTTCCAGAATTAATAAATAAATTTTAATGCAATTCATTAAAAATTATGCTAAATAATTTCACAATCTTCCGTTAATTATACTTGTATTACAAAATTTCTGTGTCACTCGGAAAAAAGTGAAAACCAGTTGTTTTGCCGCTGATAAGAGTTCACATTGGCGGCGTTTGTCATTGACAAGGTGGGCGTGTGTCGGCATATGCTATCATTTTTAAATATATTGTACATGTATACATACATACATCTCCACATGACATTAGCAATTTTTCACTTTTTACTTTGTTGATAAAATTTATTTCGTTATCTTGTCGTATGCATTAAATATAATGACAATAAAGAAATAATATTTCGATTAAATGTTATCACATATCCGTATGAAAATCATTCGTACTTGTTATTTTGACCCCTAAATAACACCGTCGTTCAAGCGTGTAGACAAAGTTATAAATTCTGCATGAAGAGCTGAGTCGATTTAGCCATGTCCGTCTGTCTGTCTGTATGTAACCGAACTAGCCTCTCAGTTTTTGAAATATTGATCGGAAATTTTGCGCACGGGCTTTTCTCACTATGACGCTGCTGATTTGTCGGAACCGCTGATATTGGATCACTAAAGCATATAGCTGTCCTAGAAACTGAACGATCGAAATCAAGTAGTTGCATGAAAAACGTTTTTATTTGACAAGATATTCACGAAATTTGGCTCGAATTATTGTTTATGGCAATGATATAATTTCTGAAGAAATCGTTCAGATCGGACCACTATTGCATATAGCTGCCACACAAGCTGACCGATCCGAATCAAGTCCTTGTATTGTGAATTCTTTTATTTGTGAAGAGTTGAATCAAAGTTAAGTTAAGTTTTTTTCTTGTTTTAATTAAATTCTCAAAATAATTCTTCTATTAATAATATAATATTATTAGTTTACTGTATTTAATTCTGTATTATTTTTTAAATTTTTTTTAATAGTTGTATAATTTTTATTTTGTGTTATTTCTTTTTCTTTTCTTTTCTGGTTTCTGTTGCCATATTTAGTATTTTCTTTAACTTTTCTTATTTATTAATTTAATTTTTGGTTTTGGATGTTTGAAGAGTTTTGAGTTAAGTTTTAATAACTGTCCCGTAATATTAAAAAAAAAGTTATTTATCTAATTTCAGTTGCTTTAATACCATTAATTAATAGGGCATTTAGTTTAGTTTGCTATTACATATTATTTTTTATTTATTAATAGTTATGGGTTTTTTTATATTTATTTATTAAATTTTATTTAATTTTTGCGTTTTTTGTTTGGTTTTCATTTGTTTTAATTTCCTATGATATTATTTTAATTTTGTGTTATTAATTTCTTATATTACTAATATGTTTTCACTTCAGAACTATTTAATTGTATATATTTATTAGGGTGGGTCTAAAATAATAATACTTTTTTCGCTTGGTACTTTTATGTTTTGTCTCATATACATTTAATTACTTTTAATTATAGTTTTCCTGTGAGAAATATGTAAATATTTTTATTTCTCCCCACGAATGTCGCGAAGTTGATAATTTATTTTAATCGTCTTATTTTGACGCGAAGATGAGAATTCCGTGAGCGGAAAGTAAATTTTTTCAAAAACATATGGTTAACATACTTTGCACACATTTTTCAATTAACTGTAATTGCCCTGCACACATTAAAATGTATCCAAAAAACGGTTTTATAGTGTGTTTTTAAGACAAAAGGTATATTTAAAAAATTAATTCGCACGCCTATATATATTGCACTCGTTTCAAAAAAATAACCCTTTGTTGTTGTTGGACTGACACTAGTGTGTCCATAGCTCTTTTGCGTGCAGTAAGGAGTTCGACGCGAAAGAAAATGTGCAAAGTTTGTTTATTTTTTTATTTTTTTATTTTTTGTAAAAGTTAATTATTTGAAAAATTAAAAAAAAATACTTTTTGGAAAATTAAAAAAAAATTCTTTTTGGAAAAAATTGACTTTCCGCTCACGGAATTCTCATCTTTGCGTCAAGAAGCAAACCTATAATTTTTGTGGCCTCCTTCGTTGGGGGACCTAAACTATACATTTACCAAAATATAATTTATAAATTTTTATTTCTGATTTTATGATTTAAAATGCAATTTGCAGGTATTCGTATTGTCGGATTATTTTTTAACTAATTTTTATTATATTTGAAATTTCCAATTTTTAATACCAATTTTAATTCGAAAACCTGAAGCCAACAGATAAAAAGAAAAAATGGAATAAAATTGTAAACTGCTTGAGTACATGGTTTTACACTTTATCTTAATATCCCTCTCATTTTTACTAGTTTCTATTAGTTAGCTTTCGTAACACTTAAATTGATCAGATATTAAATGTGTTAATTCCCCCTCAGAATATGCATGCATTCTTTAATTTTTTTAGTAGCTAGAATATTGTTTTTAGAATTTCAGTACCAAATACATGCATATGACAAAATTCCGAATGAGTGAAAAATAATATCTTTGTATAAGTATAAATATGACTTTCACTTTTCCTTCTCATACAGATCTTTGCGCCACAGTAGTGATCAAAATATCATTAATATGTCAATATACTACATATGCATTGGCATCAGCTAATGCCTCACATAATTGCACATAAACAACTCAGCAACAATCAACTGCTGCCAGAGTTCACTGTACTTCTTTTCAGTATTAACTTCACACACACACTTTACACATTTCCCGGCTAACGTTTTATTATAACAACACTTAACTTTTTGTTGTTATTACTATTTTTTTAACCAAACTTCCTTGACTTACACTCTTTTGTGCACTAAAAGGTCGCTCGTAAAAATATGTGCTTATGTTATATTAAAATCGTCTTTATGAAACTTCCAAGTTCCGCTATTCTTCTACTTCACTCAACTATTTCGTGTCCACAATGCACGAATGGAATTTCGCGACTGAAACGTTTGGATGCCGAAAACAAAGTGTGGAAAAGTCAAAGCGAAATAGTATAAATATAAATAAAGTTTATATATATGTCGCTATTTCGCATGGGCGTGTTCACACACACACACGTATGTATATTCTCGTAAAGGCGAATTTTCGGTTTTCGTTGTTGTTATATTTTTGTTTGTGATAACTTGTTGAGCTTTACGCTATGATCCCACAGACCGCAGACAACAAAAAACGGCAAACAAACTGATAATAAACATACATACCGGCCTACATTGTTATTCCGAACTAACTACCCTGTCGGTGAAATAATTATATATTAATATACAAGTAGTATAAAGTGATAATTCATAAAAATACTCTCCAACTATTTTGTTATGAACTAGTTACTAGTAATTAATTGTGTAATCAGTTAGCTATGAATAAAGATTCGCAGTTATTTTCGGTAAATTCAGCGAAATTATTTTGTAACTAGTTTGCATTTACCCAGTTACGTACCTAGATACTTTAATATGAGTATTACAGAAGAGATAATATCAAAATTCTTAGACTAGAAAGAGAAATTTCCTTTTTCCAACTAGTCTGTTATTGTTAAGTTTTATACTATTTACTTAGTAATTGATTGTATAACAAGTTAGCTATGAATATAAACTTCCAGTTGTTTTCGTTTAGTTCCGAGAAATTACTTTGTGACTAGTTTGTATTTAACTCTGAGACTTTGAGGCATTGAAAATATATCTTATTTAAACTCGTTTTTTGTGAACTAGTTTCATACTGTTTACTATTATACTTAATTACTGATTATGTTATCAGTTAGCTATATAAAAATTTTCACTATTTTTCATTGAATTTAGTAAAGTGGCTTTGTGACTAGTTTCTATTTAACTAGTTACGAACCTAGTTGTTTTAATTTGGGTATTAAATTCATCTACTATTACTTACTCTTAAAGATTAAAGAAAAACTAAACAAAACTTTCATGTTATTTAGATTACGATTGTATTGGATTGGGCGTGGTGATACATTTGAAAACAGCTGAAGAAAGGGAAAGTAAATATTTAGGAAACCACTACGGATTAAAAGTCCTGTCAAACGACTGAGTTATGTTAATACCCACCTAATCAGTTAATATTTGTAGCTTCCTGCTATTCCACCATTCTCAAGACACATACCAAAAGCCTGTCTCAGACTAAAGCTGTAAGCTTCATTGGTTAAACTCACAAAAAGTCCAACCACTTTGGACTGCACCCTCGACTGTCGTATATTTAACCATGTCTTACAAATCCATGTAGCCTATCTATTAGTCAGTTGCCTCTAATTTTGACAACGGTCTAAGAATTGGGTGAAAGTAATTTATAAAGTTTCTGAATTTCGGTTTTGAACCAAAGCAGCCGAGAAAATTGTGAAAAATAATAGGTAATTATAAAGGAAATTCTTAAGTGGGTTACATAATCGAAGATTTGTGGAAGGTATTATTCTGTTTTATGAAGTCTTTTATTTTTAAATTTGATGTTATCCAATAACTAACATTAAGCAGTTGGGTGCAGAATTTTAAGTTGAGAAATACTCAAAAACGAAGCGCCCTGAGATTTTGATGTAAAAACATATATTTAAATCTTCTCAGAGTAATTCGTTAGGAATAGTATAAATAGGTCTGATGTTAAAACATTTCTAACGTTAAAAAAAAATTCCTTCCTTCTATTCAACGTTGTTTAAGCTTTTCTTCGCTATTATTGCAACCAAGTCTTACTGGGTCTAATTGCATTATTCATGCTTGTCTGTAATTGTCCTTTGTTTTGGTCTTCATTTTACTTAAATGATAAGCAGATAAACGAGTTTACCATTTTATCAAAACGTGGCAAATGGGAGAGCGGACACAAATTCATGATAAAATAGAGAAGGAGAGTGTGAGAAAAAGGTGTGACTTTGTGGTTACACCAGTTTCGTGGCTTCCAACTGATTGTGTGAACCAACTTGTGATAAGCTATAATTGCAGTTAAATATTAGCTGGGTGGATGTGATAAAGAAATATATATGTTAACAATTAAGATATAGAAATACATTTTTATGATTTTTTTTTGTAAAAGTTGGATGCAATTACATATTTTCAAATACAATATCTTATTTTTATTAATAAATAATACATATTACTACAAAGAGAGAACAATAGCATTTGAGCTATATTTTCCGATAGGTTATTTGATACAATTGTCATGTGTTTAGCCGTGCTGATATTATAATCCTAATATTGTTGTCTCTGTAAGTCCTAAGCCACCTTCGCAGAATTTCTTATTATAAGAAAATTTATTGAGTTCTAAGAATACATGGTGGCTGTGCACAATTACTAGAAGGACAATACACTTTTTAAAAATTCTCTTTTATTTTGAGTTTCGTCTGAACTTGGTCGGCTGATTTGCTAATATTTACTGACGAAAAGTCGTCCTTTTTTCAGAGGCTCTCCTGGAGATCGGGTATAAGATGAGGAGAATCCAAAATTTTTCAAAACTAATCACCAATTATTAAAGTACATTCAATTTTGTAAATGTTAATTTTTTTAATATGTCTTGTAAGTGAATCCTTTAAATAAAGGGATCATATACGAGTACTGAAAGCATACTGTGCTTCTTCTGTGGGTTTCGCTAATATATGATACATACATACAAGTATATCAAAAATGATAAATTGAAAATATAAACTTTTATTTTTCCAATATTAGGGTTCAATAACTTCATTGAAGTCTCTGTTTTATATATTAAAGTCTCATTGATAAGTTTGTTATAATTATTTCTAGTAATATTTTAAGAGTAGGTAGTATATTCCTAATCGGCTATAAGTATCCGAGACACTTTTGGTGGTCTCTTCATATTTAAGAAAATGTGCATATTGAAATTAGTTGTGTCGTATCGATAGACTTGATATAGAGAAGATAAGCGTCTCTCTACATATGTATATAGTACATAGTAACCTATGGACATATGTACATACGTACAGATATGTACTTATAAATGTTTTCGAACAAATATTAAAAATATCTATATTCTTCTGCCTTTTTATAGTTCAACGCTAATCATTGATAGGTCAATATCTCAAGGCAAGTTAG